CTCGACGGAAGGCAAGGGCTGCTGGTTGTACCTGCTCTCAGGAGCAGTGAGCATGACATGACGAACGTAGACAAGTTCTCCAGGCTTCGCGTGTTTCAGCATTTGTAACGCAAAGCTATCTCGGCCTTCTTCGATAGCCGCAGTTCCGCTGCAAAGCACTGAAACGCCCATTGCTGCGTTGAAGAGTTTCTGCGCAACCAGAGTCACATTGCAGTTGAAGCGGGTAAATAGGGCAAAACAAGGAGGAACATCCTTGATTGGCGGGGGCATATGGCAATTACCCTCGGCATATTCCGCTTGAGGTGAGAATTTATCTTCGTCGTCCCGCGGCCGGTCTTCTCCAGCTGCTTTCAAGCCAACTGTTTCAAAAGAAGCTTCGGAGAAGATGAGGCGCATTTGCTGGATGCGATCCTGCGAAGCTTCTCGCGCCCTACATTCTGTGCGCACTTCAGCTGATCCATATGAGGTCTCCGCGTTGTTTGGGGGCCACCACTGCCTCATTTCCAAAAATCTGTTTAGCGGGGCGTCTGCCGAAGCAACCATTTTCCTTCGGTCCTCGACTCCCTTCGGCACTGTTGTAACTGTCCGCGAACGATCGAGAATTCACTTAGGATAGGAAGTTGAGGTTTTCCTCTCCTCCTTACTTCCGTTTGCAGATCCCCTCTACCCCGAAAATACCGCGGAGAANTGTCACAACCTCGTGTTGGCCGCATCTTCTGCGACGCGAGTTTCCACTTGGTATACTATTAACGACGAATCCATCAAAAAGCAAAGACCTCCAGTTTTGCTCCGTAGCCATTAGTCCCCATGCTTGCAGCCGCAGTGGAACACAATCTGGCAATTCGTTCGCACTATACACTGGTCAGCACCGGTCCTCTTGCCTTAACTGTATATTTAAACAAAGCAGTTTCTGGATCACCTGTAAGCTCCAGTTATCGGCAGTTGCACGCTTAGCAGGTGGGGAGCCGAATCGGTTATTCAGGAAGACTGGCAGGGGCAACAGCTCCCCAGCGTGTGCCCCAACGGCAATGGAGAGCTAGCAAGAAGAGATTTGTTGAAATTTATTCACAAAAATATAAACACACAAGCCTGTTGCTGCTGTAGCGCGACGAAGCGCGGAGTCGCCTCGTGTCCGTAGTGGATTACAGATAATAACCCCCCACTGAGACCGTGGCAGTGAGCTACACTTGCCGGTGCTAGTGGTGCCGTGGTACACCTCCGACTTGATATTTTGTTTTGTCTTTAAATGATATCTTTTCATCTTTAGATACACGCAAAATTGGTTGATGAGGACTGAAGTTATCTTCTTCAGCGGCGTCAACCTTTCATTCGGGTACCTAAAAGTGCGCTTGCGGCCATGGATATCTCAACTTGCCCGAACCTCCAGGAGGTGAAACTGATGTTATCAGACTTCGACTACACTTTCCTTAATTCGGATCACAACGTTCCGGAGGCAAATGCAGCGGCTTTTGGCGAAGTCGTGGCAGCCGGTATCATTGCTGGTATAGCCAGTGGGCGGTCAAGAGAGGGAACGCTTTATTGTCTTTCTCCACCTTGCGATGAGCTGATGAAGTATAATGGGTTTCCTGGAGTATTTCTTAATGGAAGTGTGGTGTACGGACGGGATGGGAAGCTCCTTTCAAGCACAGAAATTTCGCCATCCTCACAGGCAGTGTTATTGGACAAGATGAAAGAAATGGGAATAATAGGAAACGTGATGGGATACACTGCCGATCGCATCTTCTGCATCGAAAGGAACGTATACACAGAAACAAACCACACCGTATACAAAGAACCAGAAGCCGAACTTCTGTCTTACGAGGAGTTCGCCGCCAAGCGCTTCGTGAAATTAGTAGCTTGTGGGACTGTCGAGTCCACCGATAGGGCTCGTCCAATTCTGGAAAAGGCTGTGGCAGGACAGCTGCGCTGTGTGCGCCCTCTTGACTGGAACCTTGAGTTCATAAACCCCTCTGTCTCGAAAGCGGTGGGGGCCAAGGTGTTGCTGAACCACCTCAACATGACCCCCAACCAACTGCTTGCCATGGGAGACGGCGAAAACGACGTTCAAGTACTCGAATTAGCAGGGGTTTCTGTGGCAGTCGCTAACGCCTGCCCAGCAGCGAAAGCTGCTGCGAAGTACACCACCGTCAGCAACAACGAAAGCGCTTTCAGGGTCGTCGCCGACTTGGTTCTGAAGGCGCGCGGGAAAGTAAGCACAACCAACTCGCTGCCCCAAGCCAACTAGCAATTATTACACGGCCACTGACTCGCGGCAAACGGATATGGCCCCTGTACACGCACGCACCGTTGCCTTGTTCCCCCGATGTTATTTACTTTGTACAGCCGAGAGTCCCTTTATCTCAGCATTTCACTTGGCTACCTGAGTGCGC